TATCTGGAGTGATCTACATCGCCCCAATTAATATTTCTTCAAAAACTTAAACAAGTTTGGTGTTGATGGAGAAATATTAATTGGACCACTCCAAAAAGAGGACTGTATAATGGAGAGAGAGAGAGAGAGAGAGAGAAATATTAATTCACTATTCTCAAAACGAAGGGGGTAGAGTATTATATCAAGAGACAGAGAGAGAGAAATATTCCATAAGAAGAGCGTATTAACTGCATCTCCTTCTTGTATTATATTGTCTTGTATTAACTTGTTTCGCTTTATATCTAAACTTCTTTTGTAAGGGTCTATATCAATATCTTGTATTTGCCTTCTTCTTAAAGCATTTGGTATTTATGGTGATGCCAGGGATTTCCCCGGGCTAGGAACTATTTCTATCGATTACCTTTGTTGACTCCTTCTATCGTCCCTACAAAAATTCTCGTGTCAAAAAGTCAGGCAAATAATTAGTGTTTCCATTAATATGTTCGATAGTAAATTCGAAAGCAAAAAGAATACCTTGCCACCTGGCGAAGATTTGCTTTGAAACGGGATTTTTAACATCCTTTTGTATAATATCTTTGGCTACTTTACAGTCAATTCGTATAAGGAATGATTGGTTGAGCAGATCACTTTGAAATTTTGTTACAGCATGGACAATAGCAAGTATTTCTTATTTCACTGTTGAATAATTTTTTTGAGCTGGATTCCAGGTTTTAGAGGTAAACCGGACCAATTGCTCTTGATTATTTATTTTTTGTTTTAACACAGCACCAAGTCCTTGCTCTGAGGCGTCTGTCTCTATTATTTTAAACGTCGTAGGACTTGATAGGGCTAAACATGGTAATTCCTTAGCTTTTATTTTAATTTTTCTAATTGCCATATGTTCTTCAGTCCATTCTGGATGATGCTTTTTTAACCTTTGGAATAAGGTTTTGCATCTAATGTCAAATCTTTATAGAAGTCAGAAATGTAATTCAAACATCCAAGGAATCTTTGTAATTCAGTTTTTCCTATAATCACATCTGGAAATTTGGATGCGATTTCTATTGCTCTATCAACAGGAATGATTCTTCCCTGGAAAATATAGTGACCTAAAAACCTTATTTTTGTCTGGCATAGATTTATTTTTCTCGCAGAAATTACTAAGCCAATATTTTTTATTGCTTTTACAAATGTACTCAAATATTTCCAATGTTGATCAATTGATTCTGAGAAAATAAGTACATCATCAATATAGACAATCATGAACTTTGTATAAGGATTAAAAATTTCGTTCATAATATTTTGAAATTCGGATGGTGCAGTTTTTAATCCGAAAGGCATAACGTTCCATTCAAATTATCCAAATGGAACATTAAAAGCAGTTTTATATTTATCTTTTTTGGCAATCTGGATTTGCCAGTAGCCTGATTTAAAATTAAACTTTGAAAATATACAAGTGTTTGCCAGTCTATCTAAGATGTCTCTTTTACTTGGGATTGGATATCTGATCCATCTTAATACTTTGTTGAGTGGTTTATAATTTATAACCAGTCTCGGAGTGCATCTTTCTATCTCGGAGGCCTTTTCTACATAAAAGGCTGAGCAACTCCAAGGTGATGAGCTTTTTCTAATAAGTTTTTTGTCTAATAATTCTTTTATTTCCTTTTTATAGATTTTGAGTAGCCTATTGTTCATTTGAATAGGCCTTGCTTTGGTAGGAATTTTTCCTTCTCAAAAATCTGGTTCATAGGGAAGTGCAACTATATGTTGCTTTCTATCCCAAAAAGCATTGGGGATATTAGCACTTATATTTCTTTCTATATCTATTTTCAAATATTTAATTTTATTTTGAATTTCAGGAAGTAATAATTTTTCTTTCATATTTTTGTATTTTATTTCTTCTTTCAAATGATACAGAAATTTTTCTTTAGAAGAAATCTTATTTTTAATGTTATTGATTTCATGAATTCTAGGTTTATCAATAAAGGTGAATTTAACCTTATGTCCTTCAATACTAGCTTTTATCCATGTGTCATCAATTTTTATTGGATAAAGTATGTTTAAAAAAGGAGTTCCTAAAATAACAGGTTGACTTAAACCTTTTACCATTATGAAAGGGAACTTGAAACAAGCACCATTATTGCATACTGCAGCATCTGATAATTTATAATTAATAAGCATTTTGCTGCCATCGGCAGTATTAAGAACTTGGGTAGTCTTGCTGAAATATTTAGTTGGAACTAATCCTTCATTAAGGCAATTTAGGTCAGCTCCTGAATCTATCAGGGCAATAGTTTGGAAATAGTATTCTTTTTTAACCACGATTTTGATATTAGTAAACCATTTTTTGGTTATTATTTTGTCTACTAGGTTTACGTATTTACAATCGTGGACTTTTTCTATCACATTCATACCAGCTTTAGAGGTTTCAGGTTTAGGAAGGGTATCTTCAACCTCCGGTGGTAAAGGGATATTATATTCAGTTACCAAGTTATCAAATTCAATTTCTATGTTTTCTTCTTCAGTTTCTTCTTTGAGAGGTTTCTGGGTTAATTCTAAGATTTGAACCCTTGTTTTTAACGCTATCAACTCGTTTCCTACCCCATTGATTTCATATTTTAGCTCAGATATTGAAGGTTCTCTTTCTTCCTACGTTTTATTTTGTACTCTTTTAAGAATGTCATGGAAACTGTAATCTTCTTTTGTTAGAACAAGAGAAGACTTTGTTTTTCCCGATGGGGTCTTAGACATATTGATGTATTGGACTGAGGCTTCTCTTTTAGCCTCTGGATCTGATATTTTGTCAATAAGGTCTATAATCAGATCTTCTTCTTTTGTAAGGGTATTAATATTTAACCCATTCATATCCATTATTACCTTGTAAAAATCACATTGGCAATTTTCATCTTTAGGATTATCTTCATCACTAGAGTCTGAATCAGAACTGCTGATAATAATATCCTCATCATTTATTTCCCCAATTAATATTTCTTCTTCTGAATCAGAAGAATCAGAGGTTTCATCTTTTATTTGGAGTATCTCAAATAATTGGATTTTAATATTATCATCTATTTCTAGAGAGTTAATTTTTCTTTTAACTCTACATTTAGTTTTGTAATGGCCTATTTTGCCACAATTATAACAAATAGGGGTTTTCCTTTTTCCCTTATTTTTAAAGGATGGTTTATTTTGTAAGATTTTTTTGGAAAATTTTTCTTTTGTCTTTGAAGAATGTCTAAATTTTCTCTTTCCAAATTTTTCATGTTTTCTTTATTATAT